AAGGAATCTATCCGTTCACAAAAGCCTTTCCTATTCCATTCCTCTAGTCCAGATGTCTCATTCTCGCGGCCCGCAGGACTTTGTCTTGTGGCCCCACCGTGATATGGAAGTATTAGTGCGGCCCACAGGGTGAACGGACCTCTGAAGGAAGTCTCGCCCGCCGTTCCTCGTCATGGCTGACATTCGGTGTTAGGCTAAGCTACACTGACTTCATGCACACTACAAACAGTCCGGTACTAGTTGCCCTTACCTGCAGTCACCATTCCGGTACTTTCTACCATTAACAAATGCCACGGTCAAACGCAGAGAAAGGCGACTGCTACCGGGCTGCTCGTCATCCGCCGCGCTGTTGTGACAAGTGATGACATCACGCGTCGAGACGTTTTCCATACGTTGCTAGCTGGCTAAAGACTTCTATAAAACGTAGAACAAGAGCAACATCAAGTGGAATAAACTTACTCTGCGTTCACACTGCAGCCTAAAGTGACCCAATTCCGATTTTTTTTTTGACGTAATGCGACCTGTATCTGATCTTCTCATGACAGTCTGAACAGCACAGGTCGGATTCTTTTTGAATGTGACTCATATCCGATGCATATCCGATTCAAATGCGACCTAACGTCCAGGCCGCATTCATCCGAACTGAACGTCACTGATACTCAACAAATTCTGCGTCCTGATAAGCGCAAGTGGGAAGAAAAACAACTATGACGGGCTAATATGAGGATTAAGTTGTTAATATGCTGCTCCGGCCGGATAACAACTTCAAATATGTAAGCTAAGCTCCACCGTTAGCCTCCATGTTTACTTCCGCAAACACTGAGCACTTCTTCTTTTCATGGCAGTTGGCAGAACACTGAGAACGCTGACGCTATGGCGCCCTCTACTGCGCATGCAGGACACTTTCAGGTCGTTTGCCCGTTCAGACTGCAGAACACATGCAGGTCGCATATGTGTGAACGGCCTGGCGAAAAAATCCGATTTGACAAAAAATCGGAATTGGGTCACTGCTGCAGTGTGAACACACCTTAAATTTTGTCACTCCCTCATCATGTCTTTGTCAAAGCCTGCAGTTCATGTATTGGAGAAATGATTAAATGTTGATGACATTTGAGGATATTTTTAAAATGTTTTTTGTGGAATCCTTTATGCGGCCCAGCCTCACCCAGACTCTGCCTCCAGCGGTCCCCGGGTAAATTGAGTTTGAGACCCCTGCTCTAGTCTGTTCACTCCAAATATTTATCCAACAGAGAATCTTTTTTGAGAAAACAAGATTGGATGCAGAGCAAACAAATCTGCAGCAACAGTGTGAGGAAGTACATGGCTGAAGAAAAAAATTGGCTCCAGTGTGGTGTACCTAATAAAGTGGCCAGTGAGTGAGTTTTGCAGAGCCAAGTGGTCCACATTGAGAGTGAGAAATAAAACAGCAGCAGCTCCCGGTCCTCCAGCAGCTCCTCTTCAGAGCTCTTTGATGGAAGCGGCCAGCGGCTCTCAGGCCGACAGTGGAGGGCAGTGTGTGTTCTCCGGCCGGACACACACTCCTCTCAAATGAAACGAGTGTGTGTCCTTCAGGAACACGCCGCTGGAGGAGCAAGGTCGCAAACAAAATGAAAGCTACGCTTAACGTCCCGGCCACGGATTGATTTTGGGTTTTCTCTGCGGCCATTAGTCGATCTGACAGCACTTTGAGAAAACCTGACTGAATCAAATGTTTGACCTCAGAATCGGAGGCTTGACTTTATTGAATGGTGAAGTTTGGGTAGAGGTGAAAAATAAGAGGCGGCTCGATACGTAACGTACAGTGGTCAAATGAAAAGTTTTCTGAGGACGTTTCAGCAAACACTCATGAATTAAATATACAGAAGGCAGCGAGCCAGAGGGCAGAAAACTTCAAGCAGGCTTTTCAAATCACTGCAAGAAAGTTAGGATATTAATAGATGAAGTTATTTTATATTCACTTCTCAGCAGGGTGGTTTGGTTTTATCTTAAGATGCATCCTGCATAGCTGTATTTGCTAAATTATAAAACATAATAAGTGACTTAGAATGATGTAAAATTAGAAAAGGTTCACAATTTCAGTCAATTTTTGATTATAAAAATGTTTTATTTGAAGATTGCTCTTTGTAAATGTTAGAAAATAAACCCTGCAAACGTCTTCAAACTGAATATTTAACCAGCATCATTTTCCAGCTCAGTTCTTCTGCATTGTATTCTCTGTTAAAAAAATAAAAAATAGTTTCCTGAATTTGAAAAAAAAAAAAAAAGATAATAAGGAATATTCTTTGATGCTGGAATGACATTTAACTTAATTGGGAAACATGAGCAGCAGAGGTCAAGAAATAAAATGCAGTAGGTGGAAGGTCGGATGTACGATTTAATTAAATTAAAATTTCTGCAGTGGACCAAATGTCATTTGAACAGAAACTGTGGAAGTTAAGCAGTTCATTTCATCTGAAAGGGAAAATCAGCCCTGACTGGCTGTGGGTTGAACAGGACAATCAGACGAATAATGTATCAGGAACGGCCTGGATCTCATGATTAGGTGCTGAAGAGAAGGAAAAGGCTCAACGGGAGAAGCAAAAAGAAACAGAAATGTTTTTTTTTTTTTTTTTCTGCTGCAGCTGAGCTGAAAAAAAAAGAGTTTTTGGAACCAAATCCACCTTCAGCTGCTGTCAGTGAGAGACTGAAACTGTTGACCCCAAGAGGTGAGTTAGGTTACATTTTGTATGGTGAAAAAATATGATTATTATTTAATGATTCAAATAAGGGCTTAGAAATTCTTCAAAAGCTGTCAGTAATAAAATACCAACAAACATCTGAAGTCCGTTCTGCAGCACAAACAGAGAAAACCCAGAGCTTTCAGGCCTTGATGCATTCTGGAAGATTTGCTCTTAAAATAACACCACTGAGTAAACACTGCCTCTCTGCACAGAAATGACATTTCTCACATGTTAATAAATCGTTATGCATGCATTTAGTGGAAAATTCACCCACATACAGTATGTGTTTATGTTTATGCAGCTTACAGCAAAATGAAGCGTTGCATTCTCCAAGATCAGAGCTGTTTGCATCTGACTGGGTGAAAAAAACAAAAACTCCTGTTTAAAGCTGAGAGGAATAAACAAAAAATCCATGTGAATTTCACAAGAAACAGTTAAATGATGGATCAGGAGCAGCTCTGCTTTTCCATCTGATCCAGTCGGTTTCTGCTTGGAGTTCCACATTCTGCCGACATCCTGAGAAACGTTTCCACTGCGCTGACGGCCGAGTGACTGCAAATCCTCCTCCTGGATCAGGAAGCTCTGAAGGAAACAACACATTATCACCATTATTACACACAATATTCAAATCACAATCACATCCAACTTTTATGTTTTGAGTGAAAAACTAAATTATAGACATATCATGAGTAATACATACACAATAAAAATGAATATTTTCCCAATTAATGAAAAATAAAACCATGTATTCTGCATTGTTTGTTGTTCTGTTGACGTTTCCATAAATAGTTTGATCCAAATGAAAGATGGAAGGAAAATATACATAAAAGACTTGGATAACACAAATAGATGTTAAAAAAAACTGATGAAAAAAAAGCATAACAGAAGCATTTAAATTGTTCATTATTTTGTTTAAGATCAAACGTTTCTGTAAACAAAATGTTTTCATATTTAAAGGAAACAAAGTTTCTGCACATCTCAGGTTTCAGGTTTGCTCCACAACGGAGGAGCACAGAAACATTTTTCTTGTTATGCACTTTTCACCTCACCTGGACAAAACTGTGAAAGAAAAACTAAAAGAAAAAAACAAAAAACGTGTTTGTGGGTCGGCCGTCATCTCATCCTTCCTGTTTAAGCATGCGAAGCAAGAAAGAGCGGTTTGTGGCCGAGTGTGTAATTAGTCAAAACCAAAAGATCTCTCAGCGGCGGAGTGCTGCGCTTAATGGAGCCAGAATCAACGACTGAAACCGAACATGTTAGATTACCGCTGGCTGCTAAAAATAATTTCCTCTGCCGAGGAGACGATGATGGAAAGTGGAGGATAAATGATTCATTAGAAGAGTCCAACCATTTAAAGGACCTTTGTGTAGGAGCAGGGGGGATGATGATGATGATGATGATACCTGGAGTCGGTGGTATTTAAAATGCAGCATCAGATCTGATGGGATTGTTTGTTTGTGGGTCCAGGAGGGACAGATGTGTGGACAGACAGATGGACGTTCGCTGTAAACCTCAGAACTAAGATGGATGGACTGATAAACCTCCTGCAGAAGCAGAACAACAGAGCTGACTTTCGGTTTTTGTGTAAATGCTTTTTCTGTATTCCAGTAAATTAGCCCTGCAGCAGAGCCCTGAGCTCGATGGGCCTTTTGTTTGTTTGGTTTCTGATGATAAAGTGCCACAAAAATGAACCATTAAAATAAAATGTCAAAAATTAGAGCGACCTCTTTGCTCTTATGAAGTGAAGTGATCATTTCATCAGAGCCAACAAGATGAATAATTATGGGACAAACAGAAGCCAGCAAATTACTGCAATCAATTATCTAGAAATCACTCCACAAACATGAGAAACTCACATCACCTGAGCGTCACAGATCCATGGAGCAGGAGCCGCTCTTTAAACTGGTGAATGTTTATTTATATAGAGAGATTTCACAGACACAAAGTGCTTCAGAAGGTAAAGTAAAGAAAATGTATGCAACAAGAAATGCACAGTGAAAAAAGCTCAGGAGAAACATGCAGAGGAGTCTGTCCATATAAATCTCTGAAGGTTAAGATTAAAACTTTAAACTTTGATCTGTGTGTCCACTTTTAAAAGTGTGTTATGAGTTCCTCTGTTTCAGTCAGGCTGGCAGCAGTTTCAACCTATTTACTAAGAACATTTTAGCAAAAAGAAAGTAAAATGTGCTTTACTCCTTCAAAACAACCAATTAAAAAACAAGCAATGCAGATTACATTTTGTCAAAAGCTATCATCAAAGTCATCAAACACACATCAAATATACGGATCAATGTTCCAGTTATTCTTAATCAAAGGTTTTATCCTTGATTTAACTCAGTGTTTCGGCTGTTTTGCAGTTTTCTGGATGTATTTTCCAGATTTGTGGTGCATAGAAGCTGATCGCTGCCTCTCCATGTTTGGTTCTGACCCAAAGATCTGGAAGGCTGATATGAGAGCAGCAGCAGTTCATAAACCAGCCAGTGATTTATGAACCAACAGAAGTATTTTAACGTCTGCGCTCTGAGTTGACAGATGGAGTTTATTCAGACAAGAAAGTTTGGTTACCATTCACCTTGTTCCTGTTCCTGTTCACGGTTAAAGCAGCTCTGACATGCCTGGTGGTGCTGTGATGCTGCTGTGGCATAAAACAATCACTGCCGTTCGCTCTGGGAGATTCTGTTCATTTCCCGACCCGGGTTCCTCCCACACGCAGAGGCTTGTGTCAGTCATAACAGCTGGTGCTGCATGGAGGATTTCAGCAGAAGGAGTTCGTCAAGCACGGCGCTACATCCAGTCACCCTGCCACATCCATTTTAAGGACATTTGTAAGAAATATAAATTATTCAAAGAGCAAAACCTTCAGCTGTGGGAACAGCTGACTAATGCATTTTTGATTAAAGAGGCATACCTCTCCTATACATTCACCCTTATTAATGAGGCCAACGAGGATGAAGTGCACATGTTCTCTGCTGCTCATAAACAGCATGAAGACTGAATGTTTGTCAGCAGCAGCAGGAACGGTCCGACGGATCTTTGTGTTTCATTTTGTACGATTTGTGACACAGTGTTGCCTTTGTAGGAAAGACATAAAACGTGAATAAAATACAATGAAAAACAAATTTAAAAATTACAATTCATTGCAGGATGATGACATCAGAATTCAAAAACCACTGGAACTGACAGTAAAGTTTTCAGGAAGTTTTTAATCCTTCTCATGAATCTTCAACAGAAGGAGACACATTGATTTTAAAGCAGGTTTATGTTTTTATCTATTAATTTAACTTAAATTGTAAATAACCAAAAATAAAACAATTAGAGCAACAGAATGTAACTTTTACAAAAATATGTTTTGTGCATGTTTGTTAAAACTGTCTTTATGTCATGAGATGTAATATGAGACAGAATATCTGAAAATATTGAACTCCTTCTCCTCCATGAGCTGCTGCAGCCGTCTGAAGAAATGCACCGCCAATCAGAGGCAGGAGGCGGGTCTTAGCGCTGACAATCAACCTCATGTAATCACTGCTGTGGGGAAGATGGATGGAGCTTGATGCAGGGTGATCCTAGAGGAAAACCTGATGGACTGGAGTGGAGGTTTATCTTCCAACAACCAAATCTGAATGGAAATTATAATATTTTTTGCAAACCTGAATGAGCAAAAAGTTCCAGCTCTTTTCCCACCCAAGCCACACGTATTCTTCAACATCACTGCTCACCTCCGTTCTCCTTTCTGCCTCTAAACACAGATCAGATTCACCACCATCTTTGTTAAAAATACCTGGAACAAACAGAGATGTTCTCTCCAGAAACATCCAGATTACCTGCAGCTGTAGATTTATTTAATCTTCACAAATATAGAAATCACATTGTTTCTGATCAATGTCTATAGTTACAACACAATAAAGCACGGGGAGCTTTAGTTCGAGCTAATCATTCAGAACGGGGCTGAACTGTTTTTTCCTTTCAGCAGCTGTAACTGCCTCACTCAGATTTAAGAAAGGATTGTGCTTTAGGCAGCCTCTCCTCACCCACCAACACAGAACATGTAAAATCTCTGACCTTTCCAAAAAGCAGTGCTGTCAACACCATTGCCCAAGGTGGGATTAGTTACCCTGGTAACACAGACAGTATAGAAGAAGCTTGTTTTATAAAGTGCCAACTTCAAAAAAATCCAAGCATTAGAGATCTGAACACATCTTGGATCAGCTGTCAGTTGTGCCAGATTGTGACATTTTGCAGTGAAAGTGGGCTATAATGTCCCAAAATGGTCTTAAAGTGAACCTGTTTCTCAATCTGGTCCAAAAGGAGTCTGACAGGTTCAGTGAACATGAGTTCACATAGAAACACAGCACCAATGTAACAACAGCCCGATGTTCAAAATGCTTTAGATTTTAAGTAGCTACAGTCAGCTAAATAGATGATGCAAAGACAAGCTGTTTGCCATCCACCATCATTCCTACACCCAGGTTTATACGGCATCTTTCTACAACAGGAATAAGGTTAGAAAACGTCCAAAATAAAACCCTTTATTGCAGCAAAGGTGATGTTTGTGTCCATTGATGTTGCTTAATGCATATTCCAGAAGCAGGTTACTGTTGTTACCAACCTGAGTCATAACTAATAATGCTTTATCTTATTAATTTGAACCATTATTGCATATATTAATAGTGCTATATTCAAATGTAACAGCTTTGCTTTATTTAGCATCTGTTTAACAGCAAATACTCATTTTTTAATCTGCTGTAAATACAATCTGTGTATAAGGGATTAAAGTATGCATAATATGCTGTACATTACAGACAAATACTGCATAAATATTATGTTTCCATCAACAGATAGTCTCTAGCTTCCAGTTGTGTGGTAAAATTGGAAGGC